TTTTGAATTCTGGAAGCTTCAACGATCAGCACCTCTCGAACATTTTTGTTAGGGTTTTTTTTTTTACTTTTTCTGTTCTCACGACCATGAGCATTTGTTGCAGAGTACTTCCAAAGGGACTCATGAGAGACAGCAGTTTAGGATAGTTAGAAGTAAAAAATCCGCGTCTTCAGCTTGTCTTAGGAGAATTATACCTTATACTATTGTGAACATCAACCAGTGGAATAACTGCTCATCGATTACTAGTTCTCTTTTTTTCAGGTTTCATATGGTGCCAGCTCTCCAGCATTATCAAATAGGGACCGATTTCCAACACTTTTTCGAACGCATCCTTCAGCAAATATGCAAAATCCAACTCGGTATGTTACACATTACTGGTAATCATAACTAGTTTCCAACCTGTTTTATATCGCATCCATTATAAACCGTTAATGAAACGATTCAGAATGCGATTGTTCGAAAAGTTTCACTGGAAAAAGATTACGATACTTCAGTCGGTGGAAGAAGTTTTCACATCGACAGCCAAAGATCTCGAGGTACATGCAGCCAAAGATTTATTGAACTGGTTATTTATTTGTTTCTTGATACGCTTCATAGAAGGGCCCAAGGGGCCTATCCATGAAGATGTCAGTTTTCGTCGTACGCCCACATTCTATGCCGAGATCAATCTGAACAACCTAAAAATAGACGCTCACCACACCCAATTGGGGATTCAATGAATGACATGCAGGGAATCGGATTGAGACAAGCTTTTTGACAAGTGTAACCCAGTAATCTAAAAATTTTCAAGTATGGGAACTGCTCATTCCTCAAGATAGTTGTAAACATAAACAAATAGCACTTTGGTTGGCCAGCTTGTCAGTCGGATGGTTAACAAGTTTGCCTGACAATGAGTCAAGTAAGACCAGTTTTTCAATGGTGCTTTGCATATTGACTTCCGCAACATGTCGTATCACTAGAATGTGAGGAGGCTGAAAATACTTAGCATACTTATCGGCTCATAGAAGTTTTGAGGGAGTAATAAACTCGGAAAGTTTACCTCCAAAGTTTAATTGGTACTTGAGCTGGATACGTGACCCTCGTTACAAATTTATTTCTATTAAACTGTATTCGAAGTGGTTCACTCAGAATCTAAAATGACGTCATAATATGTAGGTCCACTTTTCGGCTGTGCTCGAGTTGCGGCGACTCACGAGTTTGCCGCTTGCCGCGCGCGACACATAACGCGAAAGGAGGGAGGTCATGGGCCTTCCTGACCCTGTAGACACCTATCAACTTATTCCTTATCCCAGGCTCGGTTAGAAATTGAAATTAAGAAGGTTTCATCTATATTTTCCTTCAAAATGCAAGAGTACCTGAAAAGCTCTATATCGATCATCAAAGCTATGCAAGCCACTAGGTCTATAATCAAGAAGATTACCCATTGCGCCCAGGGATAATTCGCCCACTCTTACGCAGGATGACTAGCTATTATGGATGTTCGGAGATCATTACGTTGGCATTTCCTATTAGGCAATGCTATTACCAATTTGTTTACTTTGATTACGACTTATTCCTTACGTAGAATAAAATAATTCTACTGTAGGAACATGTCACGATCTACCAAACCCTTACTAGTTAAAGATCTTAATGAGTTAAGTAAATGTCTGCTAAGTAATTTTTCGTTCTTAAGGAACTAGGACGTCGTAAGGGTATTCGTGTCGAACGGCAAAGTTTTTATGGTGACCCAACAGATGCCATGAAGACGCTTCGACGCCAAGACGCCCGAGTTATCGTAGGGCTGTTCTATGTGACGGAAGCAAGGAAAGTTCTGTGTCAGGTGAGCAAGGCTATATGTAGTGGTTATTTCGTCGTAACTCAATCGAGCGCGGAAATTCTTAGCCCTGACGAGGGATGCGTCCGTCAGTGGCGTCAGTGGAGTTGAGTGAAGTTACGAATAGCTATTCATCACGAAACGCCGTATACGACAAGATTGCCGCACGATAATGCCCGAATTTATCAGTAAGACTTGAATTCCCTGGGGTTTTTTGTTGAAGCACGTCATTTTCACTCGAATTGCCCAACTACATCCTCTCTTGGTCCCCGGTTTTGTCATTTATTCAACTCAGAGAGGGCTGCTGAAGCCTCACAATGCTTTACATACGAATCGATCGAAGAAAGAGTGGTCCGCAAGATTTTCTGGGAGGAGTAGTAGTTCGCCATTTAGACGAATTCTGAAAATACGGAAGGAATAGGAGTGATTTGCCAGTTAAAGTGGTTTCGCACTTGTTTACTTGGAGATTGCTTGTCTACTGTTGTTGTTTACGTATTGCTTTTTCTCGGAGAGTCATGGGATCTNAAAAGGGCACAGATGAAAAGAACAAAAAGAGCATCGAATGAGATTGCGTTAGAAGCTGATCGAGTTCTTACTGGAAAAGGCGGAGCTCCGTCTTTACTTGTCATTACTTTACCTTTACTCAAGAAAACGACGTCTAATGGACAACTTATTCGATAATAAGAGGGGCCTCGAAAGAAACATAATCAGAAGTTATACTGCTCCAAGCTTGGGACCGATATCTGGTCTATAAACTTTCTGGGGATTACAAAACTATTCAATATTACTCTTAGTTGCGTTATATTACTTGTTTAGGCCTACCATCATAAATTATATGGGCGAAAGTACACATGGTTTTTCATCGGATGGTATGCCGACACCTGGTACATCCCACCACCTGAAGAACATCTAAATTGCACAGCTGAACAGGTGAGATAACTGCCAGTCGTTAGCTTTTTTCAAGCTGAAGGTGAATTTGATGTATAGACAAGTATACTTTATTACAACTCGCTATAAAATTTTACAATCTTCCAAGTTGCAGATGGTTGAGGCGGCTCAATATCATTTCACGACGGAAAGTGTGATGTTATCCAGAGATGAGAATGCTACAATATCTGGCATGACAGGGAGGGAGTTCCAGGCTCGTCTGACGGCTATGCTCTCACCGGATTCCGATCCAGCGAATACTGGTGGTTTTCCGGAGGCTCCACTTGCCTATGATGCTGTTTGGTGAGTGCATTTGATTAATTTTTGCCTCATGAACTTGGATGTTAGCACAACACAGTCGATGGAAACACTTAATCGACATGGCTCCTGCAAAAAGTAGGCCACTAGGTTCATTTTTTTTTNTTTTTTTTTTTGATCATGCCACTCCTTGTCAGCTGAGGCCCTACTGGGACTGAAGAGTGGATGCAAATGAAAGTTATTGAGTCGAGAAAGGACAATATCGGCTGAGTCGCTCGATTGGGGGTTGCTTCCTCGTAAGAACGACAAATTTACTTAGGTTGATATGCACTGAGACCTCTGGAAACGGAACGAGAGGTGTACATTTGAATATCTAATAATAGCTGGCTATATGTAGAAGAAAGAAGTCGTATACTCGAATAGACTTCAAAAACCATTTTATTCTTGTAGTAGGGTAGCATAACGAAGCATCGTGGCAGATTAGTTTCTGGAGAAGAGAGTAGTTCTGATTTGCTCACCTGGGCCCACATACTTGTTTGTTGGTCAGCCGTCCGCTTAGCTAAGGCGTGATTGGTGGACGGCCTATGCAAACTAATCACAGCTTTCAGCTTATCATTATTGCCTGCAGTTCACTATAAGTAGAAGATCGATGCATTAATCACTGCAAGCATACTTTCTTGGTGTTAAGCAAGTATTCCAAACTAAGGAGGTCTGGGAAGGTGGGCAGTAGGAACGGTTTTGTGTAATCGGTTTGCCGCACGCGGCTGTTCCGGACTATTTGCCTCATCAATTCCAGTGTTCTTCATACAGCTTAATCGCTATGCGATTATTACTTATGACATGATTCTACTATTAGTTCATTTGTTCCTGTATTTCTTACTTGCTGCTGCATCCTGCTACATTCCTTCGTGCGCGACGTCTCTCTCGCCGCGACGCGGCGATTTCGTTCCTACTGCACCACACCCAGGGGGTCTGACTTCCTGAGAGTATATCTACAGAGCCACTGCTACGTCTTTGGATTCGTTTCAAAGGCTTCTAGCCCTGACTGGAGAAAAGATTTTGTTGATTCTAATTCGGTTCTCACAGCCGCATGCGATTCACATTAACAGCGAAGTGAATTCCCGGTTTTAGTTCAACTCACTCACATCAAATCAACACAATCTTAGGGTTTCTCTTGAACCTGGCACTGAAGAGATGTCCTCGGCAAAGGCGGTCGATCCAAGGCTTGAACAGTGTACTTCGCATGAATTTCACTCGTAGCTGTCCAGTTTCTGCATATGATAATAGACCATGAAGTAGCCGAGGCACGAGAAGTGGACGAAAAAGAAGCCTAATTAGTTTAAAACTAATAAGTAGGGTTCTTCTAGAAATGGCCAAGGAGATAGGGGGCCGATTCAGGAGAACTAGGCATATCTGTCATCATATAAGTTGTTTTCAAAATGAGGAAGAATCAGTGCATTGTGCCAATTCTTATTTTCAAACATAAAAATTCGGAGAAGGGTAAAGCGCAGGCCCTGTGTTGTCGACTAAATTCCTTAAGGTAACAGTATTTACTGGTAATCCAAACCTTTTCTCTTTTTACAAAAGTTGGAATACTGAGGAAAAGCGTGTTTTCTCGGTCCACGGGGAGTAACTCACTTATTTATCGGCCCAGCTGATTGCCGCAGGAAGCCGGGGACGCTGTGCGCCAGAGGTGTCTACACCAGGTTGGGGCTAATACAAGTTCGGTTTACTGGATTTTTTTTCTGTAATGAACTTACACACTTGAATAAAGGTGACCGTGCGTTATCGAGTTTGTGACTAAAGATTAAGTCGGAGAGTAGGGGATGAATGTGATTAGGCAGTATGTCAAGAAGAAGTGGATGGTGAAGGTTACTTTTTTACTTTCTAATTTGGGAAAAACTCACTGTACACTGAAAAAATATTTTCTAAACATTTTCATTCAAAAATTACGAGCGTTAGGCCAGCTCTCAACAAATAATAAGTAGGGAAATACCATTCATCTGCAACTTCCTAGAAGATTACTGAAAATTATCAAGTAGTTCCGTTTTACAACTATACTATACCTGCATGCCCATCTACATGCCAATGGCCTTACTGGTTTTCAATACAAGATTTTAGTCAATTTTGTCACCTGGAATCTTTAGTGAGCTACAAGATCATGGCTTATCCTGGAGTTTTTTGTCAACAGGCGACTTTCATGGCCCATTTACTGTTAGTTGTTTTGCACTCTTTCAGGGCGCTGGCACTAGCATTCAACTGCACACGAAATCGTCTACCAGAAGGTGTACGGTTGGAACAGTTTAGTTATGATAACCAGTTAATTGCCGATATTCTCTTTGAATGCGTCAAGAATACCCTATTCAAAGGAGTTTCGGTGAGGACACCAAATTTACAATTGAATTTTCATTTTTTACTATTTTTAGGTCTTTATCTGTTCTTTATCGATTCGCTGCTTTCCTGTTTAGTTCTATAGATTACTTTTTAGTCGAAAAACAAGTAATGTCGTTACTGGGTAAATGTTTCTTTTTCAGGGTCGTGTGATGTTTTCGGATTCTGGTGATCGAATAGCTCGTACTCAAATCGAACAAATGCAGAGTCAGTGTCTCTATGGTGACTTCGGACTATTGTAACCCATATAAATTTACTGTTTTGTTTATGTTTAGATGGTAAATATGTTGTTATGGGCTTTTATGATACGACAACACAAGAACTGGAGTGGTATAACAAAGAACAATGGTATTCAAGTAAGGGACCACCGCCAGATTCGACAATCATCCGTGAATCGATTCTCACAGTAGCCAGTGCTGTTAGTATTTCAGAATTATTTGACAAGCATTTCAGAACCTTCTAGATTAATCACGCCCATCTCGACGGACTCCGCCCACAACTGGCAACTTGTGATTTCCAATTGTTTCAGTTCCAATGAATGGCATCTATTACTATGACCAATAACCTTACCAAGGTGTCCTCCATCCACCCGCAAACCTCCCTCCCCTATCTCCAAGCCTAGTAATAGGTCGATTACGAACATGAATGGGAAGAAGTAGTCGTGTACAATTAGTAATTTCAAGTTAATATGTTCCATTTAATTATGCATTTAATGTGGCTTTGTTTTCAGCTTTACTACACTGTTGCCGTTTTTGCGTTTATCGGATTGGCATTGGCATTAGGGGCCTTTATTTTCAACAATAAATATTCATTTCGTGGGTAAGTGATGTACACGTCCATAGGGTAATTTATTCCTTTCATAGACTCTGATAAAAGGTGAAATACAATGTAATTCCGTCAACATAAGTTTGCAACACTTTGAAAAAGAACGCAGTCCTCAAGTGTTTAACATAGAGGTTTGACACGAACATTTCAAGCAAGGATTTGCTTAATTTAATTTTGTCTACAGTCGAGCAATCCCTTTTCGCAGACGCGTCATGCATATGACTTCTATCGGAAAACGTTAGTGACTTTGGAATGCGAAATCGTCCTATACAATGGTTTGTGGGCCTGAAATCGGCCAACTCTGAAAAGCTGACGAGTTAAGTAGGCTAAGGAAGGGTCCGAGATCTGATTTCGGGACGGCAATAGTAGCAAGACTTTTTCAGCCTCACCTTCCCCCTAATATAGTTTCGGAATGTAACAACTACAATGATTGAAGGATAATGGATAAAGTCCTTTGGCACCAAACAATCCCGTCTGAAGAATGCTCCGTTGCATTCGACTTCCATTCAGAATCGTGGTGGCGCATTGAATACGTGGGTGGCCTCTACAACGACTTGCGGTGGCCAGCCGACGTACTAGTTAGTATTTTTATACTCCTGGACGAGTCTGGTACAAACTAACCGACTCAGGAGGAGTGGGGCTTGGTTGGCCTGGGCGGATATCGATCTGGAATTCGAACCCGTGAATGAGTGTGAGGTAGTGCGTTACTCGCCACTACACCACTTCCGCCTTAACTACAATAGTTCTGATCAGCGATAATATTTGAATACCTAATTTATGCTGTGCTAAACCCTTGATTTTCAGGATTATTGTACAGTCTCAACCTCAATGTAATAACATAATGATCAGCGGTTGTTCGTTATGCATCGCTTCATTATTTCTTATGGGCTTACCCTCTGAGGGAATATCATTGCCTCAATCGGCATTCTCCATACTCTGCCATGTAAGTTTTTTGCTTTGATTACTTCTTATCCCTAAGGCGGTCAAGCTTACAAAAGCTGTCTGTAGATAGTAGGATCTCAATGGAGCTGTTCAAAAAATATACAGTATTATTGCTGTTTCCGTGAAGTCGTTAGACTCCCGGAACGGTCCCGGAAACATTTCCCTGGTTCACAGTAAGAGTGGTGCTCCCGCCTACCTTCTTCCAATCCAGCGCGCACCTCAGTCTGCCCCGCCCACATCAAGAAGCGCATGATCTAAGCCTTGAATATTACGTTATAACTTATGCCTTTTCTTCCCTGAAAACTGCTGTTCAGTCTCGAATATCCATCTTGATGATTGGCTTCACTTTTGCATACGGGTCGATGTTTGCTAAAGTATGGATAGTGCATCGAATGAGTGCCAGTGAAAATCAACAGCTCGCTAGCCGTCAAAAGGACGAGGTATATTGGCAGTAAAGTCGTTGGTGAAACGAATTAATGACTGACGTTATTTTTCTCGTTGCTGTTCTGGTTTTAACTTGATTGAGCTTTCCTCATCACATGTTGCCTTTATTTGCTTCGATTATTCACCTGGCAGCCTAATTTGGTCTTTCTTTGCTGGCCAGTAAGCCATACAGTGTCTTTTGTATTGCAGTAACTCTACTAATTTCCAGTACAAACCATTACTGAACACTCATGAGGATCAGGTAAGAGTATTATTCGCTGCAAGCATCAAAATTCGTAGAAAAAAGGAAACAAAGACGAGTTTCAATGCATTTCGTAGCAGTTGCATTTCGCTTTCTCATTGTCAGTTTACGTTGGAGTCGAACAACTTGAAAATACGTCGCCTTGAATTCGACTATATTCAGTAGACGATGGGATGTCCATACGCTCAAACTTGCAGTATTCATGGTAACTACGGTGTTTCCCGATCTGTCCTTTTGAGCCCATGTACCACGGGGATATAGATGTATGCTACTTTTTTACAAAAAATGTGGCGACCCTGAGCTGAAAATGCTTTGGACCTCTATGTTGTCCCTTAAACTCTACCTGTTATTCAGAAAGTTTTGGGTGTGTATTATCAGACCAGTTCGTCGCGCGACTTTTTCAGTCATCGCGCCAAGAGGCCTCTTTGTCGCACGAGCTAGGTGAGAGGAAAATCCGCGCGATAGCTGATTTCGCGCATCATGCCGCAAACCTCAAGTGGGTAGACGAACGGATCAGAACATGCGCACAGTTTTTTTTTTGAATATTGTTATAGAAATGTTGAAGGTTCGAGGGCCTCACAAAAATAAGCTAACCAGAAAATAATCTTACATCTTCTCTCCAGTATTTGGGAAAGCTCTCTGGTGAGCTGTGAGGTTCCCTTTTCCTCAGATTCCGGTCCTCGAGTATATGGATATTCGGCGATCTACTGAACCTAGTTGGAGGGCTCTCTTGAAAAGATCCTAAAGAGTTGTTCCATTTCGATGTATACCAGTTGGCCTACTTTGTGACATAACGATCTCATAAATATCGTCATTCCCTTCGTGATACTTACCTCTTTTCATTCCATTTTCTTTTTTGTAGCCAATTTAGTGCTTATGATATGATCGCTCAAGACGCTTGATGCGCACGAATCGTGGCCAGTCATCCGCTTATTGTGTTTCCCTCATCCACACATGCACACATATGCACTTACCTAGGATCACTGGATCAATAATCTTTCCTGATCGATATCTATATTACTCATACCTCATGCTTACCCTTGTAATTTGATATTAACCATCATAGAAAGTATTAGGTTGTAAAGAAAGTTCTTGCCCATTTCGCACACAAAAAACAAGTAAATATAATTATGAAAAACGAAAACAAGAAAATATTAAGATCTCGGGCTGAATGGAATTTCCGATAAGAAAAACTTTACAATAACTTCCACGTTGAATGTAACGAAAGACCACAGTGAAGATTTTAACCTAGATAAAATCTTTACTGAACTCTTGTTTTTGACTAGGAAAAGTAACCTTTTCGTGCCGAGAGAATTTCGAAGGGCCTGACTTCTGAGAGCTGCTCCTTCACCGTTTCGCTTTTGGGGGATCTTTTTAAACCTGTCTACACAGATGCTCACGAAATGTCAGTTATTAGTGTAAGCAAAGGCGAATATGATCGGTGAGGCGAACTTTCGAAACAAGCTTTGTACATGGTTATTACTTTTCAAACATCTTAAAGGGCTAGACTAGTTAAAATAGGGAATTTGAGAATTTTTTACGCACTGTTACAGTTTTTGATGAATTTGAGCGGTTTTCGGCATTGCTTTTTCTATAGTATTCTGTGACGTGGATAAAATACGAGGTCCCGAGCAAAAAAAAAACTAAAAAAATTAGGGGTACCAACCAGCAGTTTTATTTCTGCCAGTGTTCCAAGGGAGGCGCGAAGCGCTGTCGAATCGATAAAGTTGCTCTTTTACCAATTTAGAAAACTCCAGTAACAGTACAAACAAATGAAAAAATTAATTCAAAGGTGGAATCCATGTTTTAAATACGTGTTTGGAAAACGCCCTCCAAAATTGTATAGAAAATTGGAACAGCATAAATTATTTTCAATGTACTAATCAAATTTGCCCATGGTATACAGTAGTGAACAAAACTGCAAGAACTTTCTTTACAGATAATTTGTGATGATTGTTACGCTCGAGTTAGTTATGTGTTGTACAAATGTAAGCCTAGTCGGGGTTGTTGTAGGAGGATGGATCGCCATGGGAAAGTATACGAATGCTGATCGCATCCGTTGTCGGACGTCAGGCGTATGTGGCAGCAGCACTACGCAAAGTGTCCAGTAATGCATATGGTACACTTGCCGTCTCGAGACGGACCAACACTCTCAATCAGGTCACCCAAATCACTCGCCAATGTTCACAAAAAACGTATCATCGTCAATGCATAGCATACTAGTTCGCTACTGTCAAATTAAATTTAGTAGGACCCTAATTCGTACCGTAATTTGATCCATAACTGCTTCATGCTTCTATTGGTTTAACGTCCACACCTCAGTTCAGCCGTAGCATGTTTTGACTTGATGTTTTTGTTTACTGCTGTTCTCATTTCGCCGGAGAAGGCGATGAGAGAGCCTCCCAGGAATGACAACTTATGGGCAAAGCGCCAAACCTCAGACGGGGCTCGAACCCGTGCTTGTGCCATTCGGGCTCTTTCGCCCTTTCACCACCGAGATCCTTTTATCCTAGTTATCTCCAATGGCCTTTCAACCCAGACGATCACCACTCACGTGTAGAAGGTGAGGAGCTGGTCAGACAACATTGACATTGAACCATGAAGCTGTAAGCTTTTCCGATATTACTTGTTTCAAATTGATAATTTTTGTGTAAAGCAAGGAGATGTTGTGGCAAGTGGCACACTATCACACACGCATGGTCACGGGTGCTAATCCTGGACCGATATCCGCCTAGGACAACCGAGCCTTCCATCACCCCGGGGTCAGCTAATTGGTACCAGACACGTCTGGGAGGATAAAAGCACTGACTTGTTCGTCGGCTGGCCACAACGAGTCACTGTATAGGCCACATACGCATTCAATACGCCACACCGACTCTGAAAGGAAGTCGAATGCGGGGCGCATCCCTCAGACGGGATTGACCGACGCCCCAAGACCTTGTCCTTCATTTATCGTTTATCTACTGGTAATGGTGTCAATATCGTACTGGGAGCCCGGTAACCAGAAGTATGGGTTCGAGTCCCGTCTAAGGGTGAACAGTTCGCCCATCCTTGTCAGCTGTAGCAGTATGAAGCAGTAGTCGGTTTAGCAGAAGCTTTTTGTTAAGGTTTCTTTTGCCATTTATTCGATGATAGTGCTACCGTATAATTACCGTAATGCTATGTGTTGGCGATGATTACGGTGTTCAAGGCGTACTGTTGTGTTTCTGGAGTGCCTCTGAATACGTCATCTGTCATCGTCACACGTCAACTATACAGCCGTACAGAAGGCACTACTACGTCAATGAATGTGTTCAAACTATTATGTTGTAAACTTTCCCTTTGAATCCTTACTTTCCTCTCGTTCATAGCATGTTTTCCTACTGTTTATTACTTTTTCCCGAAACTGTTTTTCCACTTTCTGCATGAGCAACACCACCATACACGTTCAACTTACAAGATGACAGAGCATGCTAGTAGTAGCACGGGATTTACAGCATTGCACGGAGTTTTCCCACTATAGTGGAGAGTTATTGTAAGTTACTGTGGGGTTCAATGATGTTTTTCAGCCCATTCCTTCCGGAAGGTTCTATACGGTGATCGCTGCATTTTTCGTCATAGACATAGTTATTATTGTGTGTTGGATCGTATTTGATCCATTACAACGAATTGAACAACGATTTCCGTTACTGGTAAGTATCTACTGCAAGGGGAAGTATGTTTACCAGAGCTGTACAAGGAGTGTGGGTCGTATACATTCATTTGAGTGCTACCATCCCGAAACGTGCAGATACCTGGTAGAGCTTGTGCCCGTTGTTTCTTAACTACGGCACCCATTTCCCAAAATATGTTCCACCCAGATCAGACAGTCCTTTAATCTGTCCGGGGTAGGCAGACCTGTGTTGGGTTTGTCCAGGGAGGCGTGACCGTTTACACTCATTGCTGCCTTCTTCCAAATAACACAAGACAACCGATCATTTAAAGGTTATCATGACTTCAAATGGAAGCAAAGTATGCGGCGCGTTCTACGGGGTTGGTGGAACGGGGCTCATTTCTTAACCTAGGAAGTGTGAACGGCCCACACTTGGTGAAAATGATGGCGAATCCCCCTTACTCCGTATTTCGGTTTCCGATCTTCGATAAATGTTGCAGAGTTTTCGGATGGCATTGCTCGCGTTCATGGGGTTACTGTCTCATTTCATCATGGCTGGAATTCCGCCACGGCTGCTTTCATAGTCCGATGGCCGGCGCGCCGGCGCACTGGCGTAAAACCAATTAGTTCGTATGTAAGAAATCTAAATTTGTTGCATTTTATTTCACGGTTTTGACCTGTTCTGACCATGAAATAGAATGCAACAGTCTAGATTTCCTACATGCGAACTGAATCGTTTTACGTCAGCGCATTGTCGCGCCGGCCGGCCGGTGGACTGTGAAAGCAGCCCTTCGAATCCCCTAGACCGTACTGATGAAACCCTAATGGCTGAGATTTTGATTCCCAACAGAGATGATTTACAGATAGCAAAGTTTTTCAGGAACCTCCTGCAGGTAGCGATGATGACGTTATGTTACTGCCNATTCTGGAGTTGTGCCAAAGTTCACAGCAAGAAGTGTGGATAGGTTAGTGTAAAAATATTTTCTTATTGATGGAACGTCTTCTTTTTATGAGATTCATTATGATAACATGAATAGCTCGTTATAATCGGTGATACCAATTAATGAAAGGTTTCACTTCTTTCACTGAAAGTGGAAGCCCTATATTTTTCAAGCAGCAGCAGCAGCGGAAACCCGTGAAAGATTGAGGTCTCAGTTTGAGTGCGCTTAAGTGGAATTTTTAAAAATGAAGTTTAATTCGAATACGCATTGACTGTGTACAAGTTTTATTGGGCTCAGCCGATAACCTTTTGTTTTCATCCTTCCAAACCCTTCAATTACTCTTGGGTGTCCTGAGCGGAAATATTGTTTCTTTGGCTTGTTTGATTCCACTCAATCGTGGTGATATCGGCCCATTCGTTAAGTAGTTGCGACACCTGGCACAGTAGAGCTTGGCACTACTCGAATATCAGATCAAAGATGACTTTGAAGTTACTTAATAAGGACGGATTATAGTCTACAGAGACCCTAAAAATGTCAATAGGTCCTTCAGTGGCAGGTAAAAAAACGTAGTCCGATGGATTAGAAGCCGAATCACCCAGAAAGTTTCATGTGGAAAGGGAGTCTTACTCAACATTTTGCCTATTTATGTAGGGTTGTAAAGGGCAGAAGCAGTCATCGTCCTGCTTTTCACATGCGGCTGATCAACTCATCAGTATAAAGCTCGACTTGGATTAAATGGTTGTTGCTGTTGTTGCTTGCTGGGGCTTCTTCGTCTTGAAATTAGCATTGACGCAGGGAAACAGTGTTAAAACGAGCTCGAATAGTTGTTCATATTTTGGGAAAGCTTTCGCCAATGATCGGCTAGGAAGTCAAAACTGGAGACCTGTTACCCATGAAACTTCAAGGAGTAGCGTGAATAGTTATGCAGTTTCAAGTAAGCAGTAATAAATTCGTTCAAACTTGAAACAGCTTTCGTTCAAATCTACTAAAGCCCTCCAGCTTTTGAAGGTGACTCGTACTGATATTTAGAATCTATACGGGACCTACTCCAAGTGAACAATGTACTGTTTTTCAGGTCTAGTGCTCGGGTATAAGTGTTTATTGCTAGTGTTTGGTTTGTTTCTCGCCTATGAGTCTCGAAACCTCAAACTTCGTTATGTGAACGATTCACGCCTTGTTGGTCTAGCCATTTACAATGTGGCTATACTTTCCTTAGTGACAGGACCTGTCACAACGCTCTTAATCCGAAGTCAAGCCAACTCTAACTTTGCGTTTGTAGCCGTAACTGGTAAGCGATATTTCCTTCAAGACAACAGATCTTATGATTTCAAACAAAGAAGAAATCCTTGTTTTCATTTATTTCTTTCTCGGTTATCGAGAACTTTCTATATTTCTCTTTAATAGTATTTGTTTTTACTTTACAAGTTCTCGAGCTATTGTAGTAAGTAGTATGATGTATATCGAACATTTAGTTCTTCTATGCACTTATATCTCGTTGGGTCTGGTGTTCGTTCCAAAGATGCGATTTATTTGTCGAGTACCACCTTCTGCTGATGAGGTAAGTGGACTGAATTGTTGAACTCGAACATTCGAGAGCGAAATGCCTGAGAATCGAGTAAAAAGTAAGTTGGTCCCTCCGTGTCCTGCTCATCGAACCATTGCGAGTTTCTTCGCAATCAGAGGGTAAAACTCTGGAAATATTTTCTTTCAAACCTATTAAAACTTGTGCAGATTCGCGCTGAATTCCGCGTGCATTTCCTGAAGGATCAGTGAGTTTCAGGTTCATCCCAATGGTAATAGTGTTGGACGAGGTCTATCGAAGTCCGATCAGAAACGGTACGAACATCTTCGACACGAGAACGAAGTGCTCCAGAAACAGATAGAAGAGGTTAGTCTTCTTCTGGACAGGTTAAGCTCATGACGTTGTGATAGCGAAACCCTTATAACACTGAACCGTGTTACCAAAGTAAAGACGACAAGTATGTAGCCTTAAAGCAACACATTTTCTGTGTTGTACGGGAATTGCTCTTACAATGATGAGTGGTTTTTTTATTTGTGGGAACACTTTGCAACTGATTGCTGATTGATGCCGTAGAACGAGCAATCACCACATCAACAAGGGAACAGTGCTGTGACTGCGGAACTGAACGATGAGCACTCCCGACTAGGAAGGACTGTGCTGAAGTTCTTCGAGGGGCGCTGGTTAAGAGCATTCCCATTTAGGGACAAAAATTGGAAGTCGAGGCCACGTTGTACAAGAAAATCCCTCACAGGATTTGCTCCGTCCGGGATCGAGCGATTTTACACATTCCCTGTAGGAAAGAGTCATAGTCTGAAGGGGATGGATCCTGTCGACCTAATGTACAAGTTAAAGAGTAGATGCTTGATACATCAGGTACTTGTTCATATACCTTCTACGACCCTTTATTTTTAAGCTTGATCGGTTTCCTGTTCAAGTTTTATTTTCTGGAATTTGGATAAGTAGAAGGATTGAGGTTGAAGAGCCATTTTGAGATGCCATTATTGGCCCTTATTTTGGCCTCCATTTCTCCCAGCACGTTGCTCACTCAACTCTGAAGAACTATCAAACATACTGTAAAAACGATGTCCACATAATAATCTCTCTGATGTTGATCAGTCGTATTGCGAGATTCGCCAAATTTCCAAGTTGAAGTCGGAATTCCAGCAGTATTTGTATGAGCAGGGAATGATTCAAGATGGCTGATTAATGGTTGTGATAGTTCTTTTGTCACTCGAGATAAATTCTCCAGACCATTTTCATTACTGAAAGGAGTGGATGGTTTGGGTGGCTTCAACCGGATCCGATCTAAGGTATAACAGCGAATCATGGCGGTTGGGCGAGTAACGACTGCGCCGCCAGTCATTGTCCCTTGCTCAACAAATTTTAACGATTTTCTCACTCTCTAAAACTCTTTACGACTTTATTTCGTAGCGTTTCATTGCGAAGATTTAACTAAGCATTTTTCCCGGCTCCAGCACACCTAACTTTCATATACAGTCTGATGGAAGGGGCGCTTTTCATTTGAAATCGCATTAGACCACACCCTAGCCAAGAATTTCACCCTGATCGAACGCCAACTTTCACACGAACTACAGCAAGGTCACCGATCGTAAACAATGGTCACATACTTGAACAGGTGATAAACGAATCCCTTCATTTGATACGACTTTTTCGCGACCGAAATGCTGTGAAAGGATATGGGAACTGAATGTACACGATCTACATATGCCATAGAGTCTGCTTCAGACTATCCAAGTCTTTGATTCCTACGGCTTAGGAATAGTAGTATCTGTCCTCTTCGTCGAATTACTGGAAGCCTAACTGACTGACTGATCCCTTCTACTAAGAATAGGTAGTATAAGAATCTGGAAATATCACCAATCACTCACCGGATTTATCTTCATCGAGAAGGTACTGCCACACTTGTCGCGCCAGTGTCATTAGTGGATCAACCCTGATCGGGATTCAATCAATCAATCTAAATTGCTCCACTGGAAGTCCGACGAGAAGGTTTTTCCCTATCAACTACTCCGAAAACCAATACGTTCCTACTAGTGAGGCACGGCTTCAAGTGAAGTAAGTCCCTCAAATGACTTTTCTC